GGGTTTGGAGTTTTAGGGTTTTAGGGTTTTAGGGTTGTAGGGTTTTAGGGTTGTAGGGCTTTAGGGTTTTAGGGCTTTAAGGCTCTGGGGCTTTAGGGCTTTAAGGCTCTGGGGCTTGAGGGCTTTAGGGTTTTAGGGTTTCCGGGCCTGGGGTTTGGGTTTCAGGGTTTTAGATTGTTAGGCTTTTAGAGTATCAGGGTTTTAGGGCTTTAAGGTTTAGGTTTGGGGCTCAGGGTGTAAAGGATTTGTTGTTCAGGTCTTCACCAGGGGTTTGGGGCTGAGGGTTTCATCCAATTAAAATGCAAAGCCAACACTGTACTCGCGGCACCGGAAAAGGGCAGATGTGTTGGTGCAACTCAGACCGTTGACGCTGATTCTTCCCGTTTCGCCTGCTCCGGCTCAGCAGATACTGTAGTTTGGATACGAGGCGTAGAAGCTTCTTGGGCATCCAAACCCTAAACCCTAAACCCTAAACCCTAAACCCTAAACCGTGGCCATGGACACGATGCCGAGATCGAGGCCACCCGGCGAGACCGCGCGGGCGGAGCAGCGCTAGAGGCTGCGGGAAGAGTTGGAAGAGATGAAGGACGGACGCGCAAGAGCGCAGAGGCGCAATCAAGATGAGGCTCAGTACCAACGTGATATTGGTCAGGACGGAAGTTTCGCAAGCCTCCACCTCGAGGGCAAGGGAGTGGTGGAGCAAGCAGCAAGTGCGCGAACATGGTCGAGTACGTCTGGCGGATCAAAGGCTTTCACTGGTTGAAGTCTATTCATCACACCTTGGGATCTTGGGCTGTTACTGTGTGGTAGCCGGAATACCACCTTGGAGACCAGCCATTCGACTTCGCTTACAACGTGCTTGCAGAAGAGGAGCTATGGGAGCATGGCTCATGGGCGGTTCTCTTGCACTTGTGCCACAAACGGACCACGTCTTTTCACTTCGCTATAGCATCTATGTCCTGGCCGAAACAGAGGAATTTGTGCAGTGGGGAGAGACACGAACTGAGAGCTACACGTATTACGGGCAAGACACGTTTGGCCCCGACGTGCATTGTGAGGGCTATCCTCCTGCATCACTGGGCATCTTCGCCTTGAGCCTCAGACTGCAGCACCGCATCATAGCTCAAAGCTTGAGCCGAGATGATTTGCTGCAGTCTGAGTGGGTGCAGGAGGACACTCTGGCTGTGAAGTTCCGCTTGAAGTCCGTCCCGAGGGAGATCCACAGTCGGAGCCACTGAAGTCGGCCGCAGAGGCTCCTGGACCGACCATGAGCCAAGACATGTGTATGCTGTTGGAGGAAGGCAACTGCAGCGATGTGCGGTTCATGGTCCAAGACGAACTGATGCACGCTCATTCCCAAATACTGTGTGCACGATCCGAGGTGTTCAGGAAGCAGCTGACCGTCGGCATGCAGGAAAGCATCTCGAAAACCATCGTGATCGGGGACTGTGATGTGAACACCTTCTAAGCCTGCTTGGCCGAGCTTGTCCGACACAAACGACGTCGAAAGAAGCGCTGTGAAGAGGGTTTGGAGTTTGGGATTTGCAGAACTCAGGGTTAGGGCTCAGACTTTAGGGCTTAGGGTTTAGGGTTTAGGGTTTAGGGCTCAGACTTTAGGGCTTAGGCATGTTCCTCGGTTCATTAGGGTTTAGGGTTTAGGGTTTAGGGTTCATTAGGGTTTAACAGCTGCGCTGATTTTTGCCTTCACGGCTCCCCTAAGTCCTGCCAGCCTAGACTCTGGAGCCTGGAGCTAACATAGGTCCATGCGTCAAAATTCGTCAAAACCCTAAACCCCCAACCCCAAACCCCAGCCCCAAAACCCGAAACAGCCTAAATCCCAAAGCCTAAATGAAGCCCCAAGGCTCCAAAGCCCCAGAGCCCCAAAGCCCCAAACCCTAAACCCCAAAGCCCTGAACCCTAAAACCTAAAAGCTCAAACCCTAAACCCTATAACCTAACCTCAAACTCCACACCCTAAAATCCTAAAGCTCCAAGCCCCAAACCCTAAACTCCAAAACTCTAAAGCCCCCCAACACCCTTAATCCCTAACCCTTAGCCCTACAACTCTCAAATCCTAAAGTCCTAAAACCTCTAACCCAACAATCCTAAACCCTAAACCTCTCAAGCCCCCCAGAAACCCTTAATCCTTAACCCTAAACCCTAAAAGCTCTCATGTTCCAACTTTCTGGATTTGCTGTAAAACCTAAACCCTGAAACTCCCAAGCCCCCCAACACCCTTAGTCCCAACTCAAATCCTACAATCCCAAAACCTCAAATCCAACAATCCTAAACCCTAAACCCTAAACCCGAAACCCTAAAACTCGAAAGCCCCCCAGAGGCTGGCAGGCCGTGCGCGGACTTCTTCGGGAGGTCGCCTGCGAGGCGGCAGAGTGCAGGGCTGGTGGAATCTCGTTCGGGGTTAGAGGGTTTCGAGTTTGGAGTTTAGGGGTTTAGGGTTTAGGGTTTGGGGGTTAAGGATTTAGGGTCTAGGGGTTTAAGTTTAGGGTTTGGGCTTCAGGGTTTGGGTCTGGCAAGGGCTTTAGAGGGCTTGGGCTTCTGGTGACTTTTGAGTTTAGGCTCCGAGGATGGAGGGAGCAAGGTTATTTTTTTGATTTTTCTTGTTTGGGTTGCAGGGTTTAGGCTAATTTTGGTTCAGGGCTCAGGATTTCCCGTGTGTTGTTTCGGGCTGCAGGAATTTATGGATTGGATTTAGGGGTTTCCGGACTGCAGAACAGTCGGGATTAAGATCCAGGGTTCGGCATGGGGTCTTGGGGTTTGAGACAGGGTTTAGGGTTTACTGTTTAGGTTTTTCGGGTTTGTATCAAAATCCGAAAGTGCCCACACTGAACTGCGAGGCTCTAGCTCCCAAAAGTGCGAGCGGCAAACCCTAAGCCCAAATTCCTAAGCCCGAAAGCCCAATACCCTAACATTCCCTCATACCCTATATAATACCCTAAACCCTAAACCCTAAACCCTAAACCTAAACCCTCGTACCTTAATGCCCTAATACACCAATACCCGACTAGAAGCGAGCGATGGCCAGGCAGGCGCTGCGGAGGAGCTGCGCCTATCAGCGGTGCAGGCCCTGAAGGAGGCGTCGGGGGCCGTGAGGGGGGGTGTAGGGTGTAGGGAACCTTGAAAACGTTCAAGGAGGTTCAGAGTTTTTCTTGCCTTCGGGTTTAGGGGATAGGGTTTTAGGGAGTAGGTTGGGGTTGAGATGCTTTAGTTTAAAAGTCTAAAATACTTTCTAAACGCCCAAACCCTGAACCACAAATCCTAATCTATACGCCCTAAATCCCAATACCTCCCCCCAAAAAAACGAGACCACCTCGGCGGGCGGCACAGGTCAGCCGGCGGGACGCCCGCGATGAAGCTCTGCCGGGACCTTGATCTCGGGTCTCCGACCCGAAGAGTAAGTGCCAGGTTTAGGGTTTTAAGGTTCCGCGCCTTTCTCGCGCGCCCGCCCATCCCAATGGTCGGTTGAGCGTGAGTGTTCCGGGGTTTAGGATTTCAGGCTTTGGCCTTCGGGCTTCGGACTTTTTGCTTTTCGGGTCCTCCTTGCCGGCTCTACAGGATTTCAGGGTTCCAGTTTTCCTATCATGCTCGGAGGCGTGGTCTTGACCGTTGGGCCTGGAAGATTTCCGAGAATTCCTTAATAAAAGGATCATGGGACTTTGTCAGTAGGGTTATAACTAAGGTAACTATACTTATAACCCCCAATCAGGGACTTAGAACCTTACTTACTAAGTCCCATGATCCTCCAAGTTTAGGACTGTGTGGTGCAGTCGCGGCTCAAGCCTCTTCCTGCTTCTCGCTGTCACGAGCAGTACTTCATTGCCCCACGACGTCCTTTGCTGTTACGACTCGTTGATCCAAGCATTTCGGAAGCGGAAGCCATGATGGTGCCGGCTCTGACGTTCTCCTTCCTTGGGCTTGCTTCGGCTTCGGCAGCTGTCCGACAAGGCGGGGGATTTGGTGTGCTGGACGTAGGTTGAAGGATTTGCGCGTTCGGGAATCTTAGTTCGATTGATTAAGTGTTAGTAATATAGGGTTGTTGAAAATTTGTAAAATCATTGCAACTAGGAAAGTGTCGAGTGTTGGCTGTGAGGTGAGCTTTTTGGGCCGGGGCGGAGTTGATAGCAGAACAAAGGTTTTGGGATCTCTTTTGCTATAATCAACAGCAAGATGGACCCCAGGAACAGTCTCCGCCGCTAGTGGCAGGCACCTTCCTACATATTTGTTATCTATTCAGCAATATCATCACCAGATGCCCACCCCGGTTTTTGAACACCACGCAGGTTGAGGGCCTCGGGTTTGGTCACAGTTTTGGGGCCTGGGCGTCAGCTTCGCAACACACGGTCGGACTTGCAGATCGAGTGTCAGGTGTCTTTAGAGTTGGACTTTTAGCTTCACAAGGCGTGTTGAGGCCTCTGTGCTGTACTAGTTACTAGTTATTTTGGAAACATGGTGAGACCCTAAACCCTAAACCCTAAACCCTAAACCCTAAACCCTAAACCCTAAACCCTAAACCCTAAACCCATCCAGAGCTTCGAGTTTACGAGGTGTTTCCGTGGAGGTTCCTGCCTCTCGCAGCCTCTAAGCCGAAGGCACGATGAGCATGTGGAGCGAGACTCACGACACCCTGGTGGCCTACAAGACCCCCGGCTCGATCTTTTGGGGTTTGGGTTTGGGTTTAGGGTTTAGGGTTTAGGGTTTAGGGTTTAGGGTTTAGGGTTTAGGGTTTAGGGTGTAGGGTAGGGTTTGGGGTTTGTGGCATCTGCAGTATGGTTGAAGGTAGATATCTTCGCGGGCAGGCTGCAGGATTCAACGATGGATGGCTTGGAAAGTTCAAGGTTTAGTCTGCAAGGCGGGGAGCTTGATGATTAGACTAGGCTCTTCGGGGTATATGATACTATCTTTTTGGAACACTGAAGAATGGCATTACTGACTAGTTGCGATTCGAGAGTAGTATGACTCAGGGTGAAGCCTTGGTGGGTTCTGGGCTCAACAAGGCTGCAGAGTTTGCAGTTCGATTCGAAAACCCACAGCCCGGAAGTCAAAGCCGGAACTCTGAAGCCCTAAACCCTACGCCCCGTAAGCCCTTCATCCCACAACATGCACAGAGACTCCTCCAGAAACCTTACACCACACTAGAATTGTATAAACCCAAAACCCTAAACCCTGAAACCTAAACCCTAAACCCTAAAACCTCTACAAAACCACGCAAAAAAAGCACAGGAGCGAGGGCAGCGCCTGCAAGTACGCCGACCGCCTCATGGGCGGTCTGAACTCCGCCACGGCCCAGACGCCGTATATCACCTCCAAGAGCCTTGGCTTAGGATTTAGGTTCAGGGTTTAGGGTTTAGGGTTCAGGGTTTAGGGTTTAGGGTTTAGTTTGGGGAATAGCCTCGTGCTCTTTAAGGGAAAGAGGAGGCCAGGGGGAGCAGAGCACTAGAGAGCCTTCGGGGCAACTTCGGGGTTGCCAGGGTTTAAGGTTTGCATGGGCTTTCGGGAGTTCAGGCTTGCATAATTAAGAATTTAGGGCCTGGGACTTGGGATTTAGGCTTTCGGGAGTGTGGGGTTTGGGATTGGTGGTTCGGGTCTGATCGCTTGTGTGGTTTAGTCAGAAAAGTTTGAACTTCTTTGGGCGGGGTTGTGGAACGAGGGAGTTCACCGTCTCGGAGGGCAATCGAGGTGTGCAAGAGCGGGTTTCTGACCCTAAACCCTAAACCCTAAACCCTAAACCCTAAACCCTAAACCAAAAATAAACCCTAAACCCTAAACCCTAAACCCGTTTCTGGGCGGCCTGGAAGAGAGAACCTGAGGTGTTCCAGGGTTTCGGCTGTTCATAACTAGATGGTTGTCAAAATTATGGTCCCTTTTGGGGTATCCTAAATAATAGGTGCCGTATTATAATCAGGACCCAAAAAGGGGACCATAATTTTGACAACCACCCATAACTTGTTAAGGTCTCAACTGGCTTTGTGGGTTCAGGGTTGAAGTGAAGGAGGGCTGAAGCACGTATGGCACCGTTGAAGTTTGGATATCGTAACAGGTGCTGGGGCCGGAGTCAAACTAACACCGAAGCCCTGAGACACCTAACAGTCAGATGTTTCCGTAAATCGGTAGTTCTCTAAATTAGGGCCCTTGCTGGTCCCCACTATTTAGTACGGCACCCTTATGAATAGGACCCTAAAAGGGACCCTAATTTAGAGAACTACCCAAATACTAATTGCGAAAGCCCCACGCGCACTGCTATCCTAGAACCCTAGGCCCTAAACCCTAAACCCTAAACCCTAAACCCTAAACCCTAAACCCTGCGAGGAACTACTGCGCTGTGAATCGCGGCCTCTTCGGCAATGGCGAGGCTGCGATTCGAAGATGTCGGAGTTTCCGAAGTAAGGGGGTGCCTTATTTTGGGGTCCTTATAATAAGGATCCTGCTATTCAATGTGCTATATTAGGGTCCCCTATTTTCGGAAACCCCCATGTTGTTCAGCTCAGGGCATGGAAACCATGAAGCTGGGGATGGGTACTGCAACGGATCTTTCTGTGTACGTATGTATCATGCATGTATATGTATATATGTACATATTACCACTCTATATAAATAAACAAACAGAGAGATCTATATATATATATATAGATATATATGTAGATACATATCTATACGTGTACATGCACAAATACATGAAGTCGGTCGCTTAATCAAGCAGGGGTTTGGCAGAGGCCTTCGAAGTCTGAGGGTGTTTAGGAAGCTTAGGGTTTGGGTTTAGGGCTTTATGGGTATGGGTTAGGGGCTTAAGCTTTAGGTCTTCATGGGCTTAGGGTTTAGGGTTGCGTGTTGAGGGTTTGGGGCTTTCATGCGCCGTGAAGGCTCTAGGGGGCCTTTAAAACCTTAGGGTTCTAGAGCTTTGGGCGTTACGGGACGTTTAGGGCCTTCTGGATTCATGTTCTCAGGTGTTGGGTTTAGTTTCAGGTTGAGGTTGAGGTATGTTTGCCCCTAAACCCTAAACCCTAAATAGGCTTTAGGGCTTTCGGGCAGAGGTTCTGGGGTAGGTGCTGCCTGCATGTTCGAGCGCTGCGGCCGCGAGGTTTGTGGACGGTGCTATCGCCTGACCTACCGCGGTGGCCATGAGCCATGCAAGCACATTCTCAGGGTTTAGGGTTCAGGCTTCAG